AGTGAAAGTAATATAGTAAAGTAAAGAGTAACTTAATAGTTACTTTTTTAAGGAGAACTAACTAGTAACAATTTCTGAGTAACTTGCCCAACACTGATCACTGGTCAGGACAATTTGTCTTGTAAAACTGTAACATGGTATTGTGTCTAAGGCTATATGTAAATAACTTACAAATCCTTGCAAATACAAAGGGAGAAAAAAGATATTTTATGGCAGAACAATTACAACCTATGTCATTATTACTTAAATTTTAACATCCACTGTAAATACTGTAGTAAGATCATACACAAAGAAGGAATGCGATAAAGACATAATTTCTTGAAAACATATTATATTAGGAAAATCAGTGGTGGCTATTACCATAAAATTGTATGATTTATATACAGAATGGACTAATTAATTAAATAAGGAGCAGAATTATATGACATGCCATAAGATATTACCAAAAAAAATAGAGGGGTATCCGACAACATTTTGAAAAGTAAGCATGTGAATAAATACTTCTGTTTATTTCAATGAAAAAGTTATTGACAGGTATTTCTTGACCTCTAGCAAATCACACATACCGTAAAACTTTGATTAACAGCCCGGGCTTTTATTTGCTAAAATCACTTGACCCTGCCTATATTTGGGACAGGCGTCCATATAGGACAGGCCTTTAATTCTTTTTGCACAAACCTGAAAATACTATGAAACACTTTATTTATTTCAAACAGTATGAATATTACTTGTATAAAAAATATTATATCAGATAATATCAAATACACGTCATTTACTTGATGTAGCTCGGACAGACGGCTTATGCACTTTTGTAGTCAGCAAAATAACTGTAGTACTACAATTTGGCTTTGGTTTGTAGTCAGTAGGTCACATTTCATGGTAGCTCATAATAGCAAATGCTCCTATTTGTACTTAAATACTGATAAAAAATTAACCTGAAATTATTTTCTGTTCAAATATTTATTTAAAATAACAACACATTAGCAATCAAAATAGTGTGCAAAATAAGTGTGCTGTTTTGGTGCAGCTCGACTGGCGTTCACAAGAGAACCCCAGAATTGACCAGTCCGCCATTGGAGCCTCGTTCTCTTCACAGATGAGAACAGGTTCACACTGAACTCGTGACAGAGGTGAAAGAGTTTGGAGACGCCGTGGTGAACATTATGCTGCCTGAAGCATCATCCAGCGTGACCGTTGGTGGTGGGTCAGTGATGGTCAAGGCAGGCATGTCCTGGGAGGGTTGCACCACAGCAGCAGGGAGGGTTACCCACAGCAGTGGTTGAAGTGGGCTGGTATGCACCGGTACGCAGTACCGGCACCTCAACATTCTACTCTCTGGCATACTGGGACTCACAAGCTGCTGGTACGCTGCCCTCTCCATATCAGGTTCTCTGGGCGCTACATGACGCTCACTGTTCCTGTTCCCACCTGTCGGCTAATCTCTGTCACCAGAGAGTTTAATGCTCAAAGTCTTCTGGGGTAGGACCTCCAGACCCCCCACTGAAATATTTCAGCATCAAATATTTATTCAAAATACTGTTAAAATATTTTCTCATCTTGTTCTCGTGACCCAAGTGTGTCGTCACACACCTAATCTGATGTCCCCACCTCTTTACAAAATAAAGTAACGCCCCAGCAAACCTTTGAAATGTTGAACTCGTTGTTCGGATGATTATGAAAAGTTAGTACTTAGCATTAAAGAGGTGGTATTATGCTTTTTGGCTTTTCCCCTCTCCTTTATTGAGTTATGTCTTTTTTGTGCATGTAATAGGTTTGCAAAGTGAAAAAGCAAAGGGAGTTCCCATCTCCCACAGAAAGCACTATTGACAGTTTTACGAGAAGTGATGGTGGAACAAAAATGTGCTTCAATATTTTCGGAGTTGAGGAGCTCCGCAAGTGGCTGCTGGGGAAGCCAGTGCCAACCTGCGGGAGGAGCGTGTGAGGCCGGCCAGCCGCCCGCTCACAGAGCCCTCTGCTCCCGCCGTCACACAGACCGCTGCAGCAACAACGGCAGAGGAAAACACAGCTGGAAGGTTTTCATACCGCTTATCTGTCTTTACATTCTGAGGAATGTTGAAACGTTTTACCTTTAAAAAAGAGAAAGCTGTGTGGGTCGCTGGTGTGTGTGTCGCATTGAACATTACGTCGCAGCAGTTGTGTGTGGTGTTGCTATGACGACAAGCTACGTACTATCTCTGGGTACTATCTGCAATGGAAAACGGAGCAGGGCCGAGTAGAGTCGAGTCTATCGATTTGCGCTATGGTAGCATTTTTCGGCAAGGTAGCATAGATCATCAGAACACCGGCAACAGTTCAACGCTTAGTCCTAAAAGACGATGCAACTCCCACCACAAAATAAAATATTATTTATATGACTTATATTATATTATATGACCATGAATTATATTTAAAATAAACACGGAAATGTAACTTCACAGACTGTTCAAGTGCGGAGTTGTTGTAAATGTTGGCTAACACAGCTAAAGTTATAGCTATAATACTAATGTTACACCTTATGTGAAAAGCTACTGAGCAAACGTTCAAATTGTTTGGCCAATTTTTATGTAAAAGTTAGTTGAAAAATGGTGTTTTTGTAGTGGTTTATGGTAAGATGTGGAACAATGATGTTGTGTGGTTGTGGACTTAGTGCTACCCAGGTGGAAACATAAAGAGTCATAATTGATAACACACCAATCAGAACCTTTAATAGATAGATAAAAGGACCAGAGTCAGTTCATTCAGTTTTGGAACAATGGATCCATAGAAATCTGAAGGAAGACATAGAGGACACTAGAGAGGAGGAAAAGGAAGAAGAGGAGGAGGAGGAGGAAACGCAGTATGGAGAGGAGTAAGAGGGGAAGGAAGAGTGAGTGAGTGAGTGAGTGGAGAGCTTTATTTTGACCTGAAAATAGGATGTTTGGGGAATTGGGTGAGGAGTTATAAATTTGTTTTTAGAGTTTTGGGGAAAAGAGCCATCATTTCAAGAGATGTGTTTAATTAATCGAGAAAAACTGTAATATGTTTGTAAGAGATCATCTCACAAATCTATACAAAATCAGGAATTCCCTTACTCTGGAGAGGTAACAAGGCACTGGTACTTCATCATGACACGTCAAAACTGCAGATCACTTCAGACTGTCTGAAGTCTACATTAAAACATTTGCAACACCCAGTAATTGCTTTTATACGGTTTGATACAAATTCTAAAAAAACAATCCAAATTCCCTCAACTTGGTGATGAAGGCACTTTCAAATATAGAGCAAAATTAAAGTTAAGAGGAGAAAAGGGAAGGATGTAGTTACCAAGCAAATCTAATCTAATCTGTGTGCCAGGACAGCAATTTTGGTTCCAAGGTTTAATAAACCAATAATTTTATGCTACCCATACGCTGTGTCGTGCTGTTTGTGTTTATTGTGTCTCATTGGTGTTGTGCATATACTGTAGATACTGGAAGGTGTCAATTCCCCATGAAGATGTTGCATCTTCTGTGTGTCTGTTCAACTTAATTTTTGTCAATGTTGCCTGGATAGAGGCAAACTATCTGAAGCCAATTCAAAGACTTTCCACACCAAATAGGTCAAAATAAGACCCAGATTTTAAGTACCAAAACCATTCTTTATGGTTTAAAGCAACCTTTAAAGGGATAGTTCTGATTTTTTAAAGTTGATTTGTATAAGGTATTTATCTTAGTCTATGGTCACCGTATTATCTACAGTTGAGTTGAGTTGTCTGTTAAAAGTAGTTTTTTAGTTTGGTTCTCAAATGTTCACGATTTGTTATTATAGAGATATGCTTCAGAAACACACCTCCATCTTTACGTCATTCAAAATGTGCCTAGTTCAGGGACAAAGTTCAGCAATGTACATGCACAGCACACCACATACAGAGTTACAGAAATGGTTCACACAAAGCTGTTTTTCTGCAATGTGAGGTGTATCTTTGTCTGGTCATAAACATCTGAAATTGTTTCCACACAGCTATATACATTATATAATAAACAACTCTGAAAACTCAGATGAAACAAGCACTAAGATCTCAATTCTTTTTGAGGTCACTTCAATCTGAATTTTTTGCTCCCTTTGGAGAAAACATTAGATATGGAGAGATTTTTGAGACTTAGGTGAGAGAAATAGATATTGAATTGGGATTACAATAGGAGAAATGGAAGTAACAGATGAGATGTCATCAGAGCAGAATTAGAACCCCTGTCCTGTTGTTCAAAGGGCGATGACACTGCTACAGCACCATCTAGCTACAACTGACAGTGAAGAAACGATTGTCTGTAAATATAGTAAAATTTTACAAGAAATACCATATCCACAATTACATCCCTCCAAATTTTACTCAAGTAAAGGTATAAAAGTATTCCATAGTGAATGTACTTAATTATGAAAAGTAAAAGTGCTCATTCTGTATGACATTGTTGTATCTCAGTTCTTGCGTGCATTCAGTCCTTAATGAATTAATCTCTAAACATCATGTCAAAATGGTGGGTATTCGAGTTATGCTGGCTGAGACTAACTTAACAAATTGGAAAAAATGAAATTGCATTGCAAGGGAAATATTTTCAATTATAAAATATATTTTATTCTTCTTCTCTGTAACTACAGGGTTCAAATAAACAGCAATAAATACAATAAGTACAATACAGGATTTGAAATTCAGGAGAGTAAAAGGAAATACGCAAGTACCTTACCGTTAACTTAAGTAACATAAAAGTAAAAGTACTTTATTTTCCACCCCTAAGTGGGGTCACTAAGACAAAACTGAGACATATCTCGAAGTTTTTTTCTAATCCACATTCTGGAGAAATTGATCTTTTGATCAGAGAAAGACACGAGTTATTTGCTCACGAGGACACTGTAAGAAAACTGAGACATATTTGAGAAGAATCATGAGATCCCAGGAGTCATAGCTGTTTTATGTTTAAATAAAAGAAAATAAAAAAAATCAAGCCAGTTGTTTTGACAGACAAACAAACAAACAGTAACGATTGACTTCTGGTTCTAGTGGATATTGTTTGCATTTCTTCTCTCTGTCTTCTGTCTTTCTTTTGTCGTTCTCATTTCAACTTCATTAGCCTTGTCGATGTCTTCGGAGACTGATGGCACATCTCTCTGATGAAATACGTATTTTAAACATCATTAAAAGAAGTGGTGAAATTCATGCAACATAACACAAATCATAATTCAATCAGTGAAGCACAAGACTTCTTGAGTAGTCCCTTAATAATATAGATTTACATGCAGGCACATTTGTTTTAATGCAAGGTTGTTTTGTCTTCTATTTTAATGCCAAGTTGTTCAGCATACTATTATGTGTCTTTGTAGTCTTGATAGCCATACAACAGTTACAAAGACACCTCAAAAACAAAAAGAGCTACACTAAATTATTAAATTATTAATGTGGCTCCTTGGATTGTGTATTGTTTTTTTCTTGTTAAAACTCACCACAGATTCTCCTTCTCTGTGCTTTTTGAAAGAACAGGTCAGCCATTTCACATATTCCTCTCTAACCTAGAAAATACCATGAAATACAGTCATGTGTGTTAGTGCTACCTTAAATATAGACAGCTTTTCTACTGCTGTCATCGTTTGAAGTTCTGCTCTATAAATTGAAAATGTATTAGAGAGCAGATTAACGAGAGCACAATCATCTGCATAAAGAGTTTACCTCCTTGTTGAGCACACAGTGGACAATGAAGAGAAGCGTCCCCTGTTGGGAGTTAAGAATTATAAAGAGGACCTGAAAGAAAAGGTTTGTCTGGTACAGGCCTAGAATCCAGGTGCAGCCCAGTATGACAAACTGGGCCAGGATCTTGAACACAATCAACCTGTAAACAATGAGAATTAAAAATAAAATTTTTAAAGAATTTTAACCATGTATTCTTCTTTCAACACAGATGGGTCCAGCATTTGTAACACTTTGAATATGTTGGCACTTGATCTATCAGTTGACAAAATGTATATAACAAAGTGTAATAAAGAGGAGAATCTGTGTGTGTATTTATATTTCGATTATGTCAAGAACCATTCATCCCATCGACTTCAAACGTGGCAGGTGTGTTGCTGGGAGTGCAGTGTTGCGTTTGGTGCAATTTGGGGCTTAAGGGCTCCGATGTGGCAGTGAATTGTTGAAACTGAGTTCTCGTCATCACGCAGGTTTGATATAGGCCTATGTTAAAAACGATTTTGTTGGAACGGAGTTGTAAGAGTTTTATGTTTTATGTTAAGTTCTAAGGAATCACTGAATATCAATAATTCAATTCAATTCAAAACAGCTTTATTGGCATGAATGTATAATATCAGTATTTCCGCCATTGTCATGTTGTTTCAGTGTTATTAATGCTGGTCAGGGGTCAGTAAATAAGTTTGATAATTTAAAAACAAATGTTGGGTTCCCAGTTGGCATAGTGAATAGTGCACAGGCCATTCAATCAGAGCGTTGTGAGATTGATCCCCCTTGTGCTCACAATAAAGCATGTGCTGGAGTGTGCGCGTACTGCCGATTGATCCACATCCATCAACCTATGGACGCTTATTTTCATCACCCCAGCATATCCAGGCAGGTGAAATTCCTGCGCTTCTCATTCAAGGGGATCACAAGGCTTTTTTAAGAGGTGAGTCAAGCATGCCACAGTGTCTTTTGAATGTCTTTTTAGAACTTTTCAAAGTAAAAGCTCTAAATTCAACTCGAAATAAAGCACTGCGACAACAAACTGTCTCACTCTTAACAGGAAGTGATTATGTGAGTAACAGTTGCTCTCATGACTCAGATTTGTATCAAAGTATTATTTATTTATGTATTAATTTATTTGGCCCACCATCCGCCTATTGCCAACCACTGCGTGAAATCAATGTGAGATGCACATTTTAACAAAAAGCACAGAGGCGTCACATCGGGCCCCTGTGAACAGGCACTGCACTAGTATATTTAAGTTGAACATCTAATTTTGTATTTGCATAAGACCATGAAAGACATTAAATTGACTTTATGTAGAGTCTGTGATATATTGTTTCTGTATGTCCATTATGTATCCATTTGAACTTTTCTGGGAACAAGCTGTTATATTGAGGAAGTCAATCCAGACACACATTTCTCAGTTTTTCATTTATATGCAAAGACAATCTTCAAAACTCATACCTGGTGTCTTTGGATTGAGAAACATCACTTTTCATGTTGGCCAAGGTGGGTCTCAGATTCCATAGAGTAGCACAGAACAATATCCAATTAAGCTTTAAGAAGAAAAGACACAGGCTGAGCTGAGATAGAGCAGGATATACAAAATACATTTACAACCTTCATTCAACCCTTCAATACTACACTACTAAGCCTACTGCTCTAGTGGCAGTGGTAGGAGGTAGTGTTGTAGTCAAGACCAGCCAAACCAAGACCATGTCAAGACCAAGACTTTTAGGGTCTGAGACCAAGACCAGTTCCCCACATTACATGACACAATAAAATGTGGAAGAAGATCATAGGTACTTCTCAAATTTATCTGAAAGGTCCATATTCCCATTAAAGGACCCACATACAAACACTAAGAGCTGAAATCAACGTAAGCATCTTTATTTAACACTGTGTTGTCCACTGTTAGCTGTGACAGTCGTTAACAGCAACAACATATTTTTAATTAGGGTTATTGGTTGCATTTGAAGCAAAATGTTTTACATCCAATCAAAGTTAGGATGTTAACAAATAAATCAGACAAAAGCAATTAATTGATATTCCCAAAGTTATGGTCTCGACTGGTCTTGAAATAAAATCCTGAGTCCTCACTGTCCGAGAACGAGACTAGACCGAGTACAAATGTGGTCGAGACCAAGAACATCAAAAAGTGGTCTCAAGACTGGTCTTGAGTACTACAACACTTGTAGGAGGTCCTTGTGACTTTATAGAGAGTAATCCACTGAAAAGGAACTAATCGTGCATTATTGCTTGTGGCGTGTCAACACGTAAAATACATGGTCTCGTTTTTGATAATGTTTGACTGACCTATAGGTATAACTGTTATATGTATTCCAGCTCTTGGTGATGTTATATTATAAGTTTAGAAATATTTCTCTTATTCAGTCTTTGCGGGCTTGTTATTTTGGGTGCAATACCCAGCAACGTCAGTAGGCAGCAGCAGGATGTTAGGCAGCTAACCGGAACTCTGATTTGCGCTCTTTTCGGTCCTCAGGGTATTCTGCTATGAGGAGTTAATGAAACAACAGCCTAAAGGCCCTTTAAAATAGGAAGTGATTTGCGCTGCGATGGCCGCTGGGTTCAGTGCAAATCTATCTTTGACCGGGTTGGTCAACACAACAATGCAAATCATGGGTTTACCTTACAGTTGTCCTGTCTGCTTATTTCAACTTTTTATCAGGTTAGTGTAATGTAAAAGCACAAAGAAAACACATTACAAGTGCTCTTCTTGCATCTTGCATGTACTTTAATTTGTTGTTGTGCCTCTGATCTGTATGCTAGCACCATCACCTAAATATACAACGTTATGGTTGTTAACCTGTTAAAAGCTGATCTTATATACAGTAGCATGAGGAACATAAAGATATTTTCATATTGTTATTGTTAGCTATGTGTCTGGCTCAAGAGTGTAAATGAAAAAAATATTCTGCTACAAGGAGTCAGTGCAGCACCAGTATGATGTTGTTCTGCCTGCTCATGTCAAGTTTTTATCAAAATAACTGTTTTTTGGTCGCATGCCTGGGACCTGCATCACTTACTTGGTAGCAAACACTGTAAATGAGTAACCTACACCTTTCTCCAACAATTCACGTGACTCTGTGCAAAACAGCACTCACTTTTTTTGTCTGTAATCTTGAAGGCAAATGGCATACAAGAGAGTAATTTATTCACAACTTGTAAAGACTTCATTTCCTGGCTTACAACTACATTACTTTTTCATTGTCAGTATTTTGGCAAATCACTAGGCAGCATCCAGGCACATTGATGCCTCATTTGCATTAAGTTGATGTTTTTTAATTCCTTTTTTTAGGTCTCTGGTTATTACACACATTCACAGTCTTAACTGCCAATCCAGCAGGACATTGGAAGAGCTTCAAGAGAAAAATACTGTATCAGCTTTAACATGCCCAAAAAATGTATTTTGTCAAAGATAAGTCTTTAAGTGCACAATGGCTGGTTTTGAGATTAGTTAAAAATTGGTCAAAAGAGAAGTTAAAGTTGGAGAAATAGAAGGGATTCAATTGCTAATATGCAATGTACTCACTCCAAGGATAAAAATCACAGGGCCTGTTAAAGCCCAGTTGAAATTGCGCTGTGTAGAGAGCCAGCACCTGCAACAGAATCAAACAAATAAACAATCTTTTCAACCTAGATGCACATCAGTTATACAGGAGAATGTGAATGAGTGCATGTATTACTGATTGTCTTACTCACACCCCTGTCTTAGTAGCACCATATCCATCAGAATACACCAGTGCAGAAACACCCACAATCACAAATGGAACACCGTAGCCAATCAGGCAGAGAACTGGCCTGGGGAGGCCATCTCTCTGGATGACCTGCACCTTGGAGAGCCTCCGGACCAACAGGTAGAGCTGAAGCGCCTCCAGCTGCATCCATACAAAGCTTGCAACAACTAGGAAGTGGAGAAGCCCCGCCATGACGGTGCAGGACCGCTGTAGACACAGAGAAGTATCTTGAAAACAATGAAATGCTTCTGGAAACACTTTCAGCAAAGAATGGTTAGCTTCAGTTAGGTCACATTTAATACTAAATCTGCTTCTTAGTTTGACTGTACCTTTTGATCAACATATCTGTCGTTCCACAGCAGCAGCAGTTGGGACAAGGAGAGGTTGAGGCAGAGGTGAAGACGAGCTGTGTTGTTGATCTTGGGGTTCCAGCTACACAGGAGGAAGGTGAAGATGGCCAAAGCAAAGAAGAATAGTCCAACAATCACACACATTCGGTTTAGCCAGTTTAAGAAAGAATTATCCGGTGGAGGCTGAGAAGACACAACGCACAAGCAAATGCATACTGTGATCAACCTGACTTTGACTGTAGGATCCTGTATTGGCAAATGCACATTCACAAACAGATCTATAATACCTCCCCTATCTGCAAGATGAGGGCAAATGTGGAGAGGTGAGAGCAGCTGCACACCGTATAGTTTTCATTGGTGTATGCAACCCAACAGCCCTCTACTGACCAACGCATGTTCTTGGTATTTTCTGCTCCATTGTCCCAGTACACACAGGTCACGAAACCAGATTCAGGTAATGTCTGATGAAACCAGAAAAACAAAGATTTTTAGATATGTTGAAAGTTAGCTAGCCATATAATAAGTATCCAAATATATGGATAGATGAACTTGGCAGCACCTTCTTGTGTTGGATGGTAAAGTTGACAGGCTCTGTGAGGTTGGTGATGTTCATTGAGGGTAAGATTGCAGTGATGACATCTGAGTACATCTCTGTACTGTTTTCTGATTCAAAGTATTGCTGACTAAGAAGACTCTCCATCCCATTCAGTGTCATAAAGGCAGCTGTTGCAGAACCTCGGAGTATATTGTGGAGGTGATTAACGCTTTGAAAAACCATACTGTTTACCATACTTAACATTATCATTTACCACAAAACTATGTTCTGTTTTTCCAATTTGTGTATAAATTTGATTAAAAAAAGGTTGGGTGCAGGGTGATTTACTATAGTCAAATTCAAAAGGTGGCAAAATAAAATCTTATTTTCGGTATGTGAGGATGCAAAATAAATGCTTTGTTTTTTTTTTAAATATATTTAGTAACTGTCATCATCTTTTTCATTATTTTTCTCACCATTGTTATTTTTGGCCAGACCTTCCAGGTTGATCTCCATAATGTTTCCATTTGCTGAGAGACTAGAGATCGCTGCATTGTTGCTTCCAGGTCCGATAGTTTGAAGACTTAAATCTAACACACAGATTAACATTACAACAGCATGACTTTATATCGCCCCAGTACACTCACAGTAAAGGTCTACAATAAACTGAAATGAAGATATCTCACCCACTGTTGAAGTTGTCGCAGTTGTCTTGGTTTGGTTCTGGCCTGGCTGCACTAATGTAGACACTAAACGGTGTGAGATGCCCAGGATCACACTGCCGGTCTCCCCGTCTCCATTACTACTCACCATGACGGTTCTGGCACGTGGTCCAACACCTGACACTTCCTGCAAGAATAAATATTTGAATAACTTATCTGCCTGATGTTGCAAACCCAAAGTAGGATTAAAGTGACACAGGTTATTTACGGAACAAGTACCATAGATGCTGAGAAGCTGTTTGTCACAGTCTGTAGAGAAAGAAAAAGAGAGAGGGGGAGAATTTTGTAAATGCAGTTGCTGTGTCTACATATAATTTGCATCAAACTTAAATTGCTGTCGACTTAATTTCCAGTTTATCTAAAACTAGCTCTGCACACTTTGAGAAATTACTGTTGCTGAGTGCTCAAGTGTAGAGCTTATTGAAGCCAGCTAAAACTGAAAGACTTCAGCTGTGAAAAGAAATATATCTTTTATCTTTAAGAGGGACACCAGTGTTTTCTCCTCACCGCTACTGGTAAGGTGAGGCCTGCATTGTCTTTCAGCTGTTGGTCCACGTTGCCAAGAAAAGTTCTCTCTTTTGTCTGTCCCTGCAGTAAATAAAATAAAGAAATAAATAAAATAAGATGTAGTTTGTAGTGAATAATATTCAAACTTTGAAATATTTTGGCAAAAGATATTACATTTGTGCAACATAAAGTATAACATTTTCACCTCTATCTGCTCACATTACAAGTGTTGTGGTTTAGTGCATCTGTGTGGTAAATGGCACCTCCTAAATGTGTACCCAACTAAAATCACTGTTGCATACTAAATGCTGATGACAACAGTACTACTATTAACAATTAAGATAAGATATAAGATTTAACTGAGTTTTAACTTATTTGTCAGGCCAGCTAACTTCTCTTATAGGTTATTTTGATCCATCCACAAGATGAAGCTATGAACCCTAAATGTGACTTGAACAAAAGCCTACAATACACACGATGTTGTTGTTGCTTTTTGTAATATATTGTGGATATTTACACTAAGTGCAACATTTTTCCTTCTATAACCGTGTCACTTTTCTTGCTATATTTACCTCTGGGGGTTTTATCTCAGCTAGAATTATCTGAACACCTGTTGAGTCAATGTAGAAGAAAATGACAAGAAAAAGAAATTACCAGTCATTCAGCATATCAAGATATTGCGGTATACTGTATATACTGTAGCCAAGTGCATGCTAAGCTCACTTTTACAATATGAGACCCCTAACGTCCACAAGATTCCAGTTGTAGGGAAGAACCCATCAGGGCAAGAACAATAGAAAGTCCCCGGAACATTAGTACACACAGTTTGTTTACCACATATACCAGGTGTCTCAGTGCACTCGTCAATATCTGTACAGACAGAATATATACAGTTAAACATATAATAGTGAAATATATGATAGTAAAATCAAAAGTCACACTAATAGTGAACATGTCTATGAAGATTCTCAGTCATCCAGGTCATAGTTATCCAACGAAGGTTAAAATCAAGGGCAACTGTTGCCCTTGATTTTAACCTTCGTTGGATAATAGTGAACATGTTCACACACCTGTGCATGGGTTATTAACACTGGCTATCATGCCAGCATTTGGCCGATAACCAGGGAAGCATGTGCAAAGGTAAGATCCAATTGTGTTTGTACAGTTGGCATTAGGTCCACAGACAGCAGCATCTTTGACACACTCATCAACATCTGTAAAATACATGATAGACAAATCAAACAATAAACCAGGCAACTATGTGTGTGACCCTAGAACTGAAAAGTTGCAAGTGAATTGTATTTATCCATTTGCTTCTTGATGCTGAAAGACATCTTGCATCTTTAAAACCTCAATTCAAATACCAATACAGGTGTTGGTCGGACTGGGTTCATTGGTTGGTTGAGTTGGTGCGTAACCCACGTGACATGCACAAGTATAAGATCCAGGTGTGTTGGTGCAAACAGAGTCGGGGCCGCAGATGGTGGAGTTGAAACAATCATCGATATCTAAGGAACAGTAAACACAGATGGCATGGAATTGTGAATAAACAAAAGTTAATGGGAAAGTGTAATTTTACTCCAAAAAAGTGATAATTACTGCATCGGAGCGTGGGGTGAAGACAACACTGAATCAGTGGTCAATTATTTTACAGTAAGCGGGTGTGTCAGTCGCCCGTTGTCCAGCAGACAAAGCCAAATCTGACAGAAGTCATTATTTCTGAAAGGATAAATCTAAAGGAATTATTTGCAGAGCAATAATGACTAGGTGATAATGCAATCCATTAATTTATATTTCTTCAAAAGAAAACATTCAACATCATAATTTTTTTGATGTTATCATTGTTTTGACAAACTTTCTGGAGAAGAACTCCAACATAACATATGGAACTATGTTGGTAATAGCTTAGAGAAGATGAAATAAAAGCTAGTATTGATTAATTGGTGATGTGTAATATTACTGCAAACAGACCTTGGCAAACAGGAGTTCCACCGGGTACAACATGATAGCCTTTATCGCATTCACACACGTAACTTCCTGGGTTGTTGATGCAGGTCCCATCATCACCACAGATATTTTCAAGACATTCATCAATATCTATAAAGGGAAATAATCAACTGGAGTCTCAACTTGTAAATCAGCCTTAACACAATAATGTCATTGCAGCTCAAGATCGGCAGTGAAACGGGCAAGAATTTTTATGGTACCTTTGCATGGGCTGGACTTTCCAGGCGGTAATGCTGGATATGTTGCATTGAATCCAGTTAAACAGGTGCAGAAGTACGATCCAATCGTGTTGGTACAATTGGAGTATGGACCACAAATCCCCGCAGTCTGGCATTCATCAATGTCTGAAAAGAAATGTCACAGGGTTTAAGGTGGTAAATACAGTACATGTGCAGAAAGTGCAAATCATAAGTGTGTATGAAGAATCTTAATGTGATCACAGTGATAAAAGAGAATCATACAGATCAGATGAAATGAATGTGCTTACCAGTACAATAAAATGAATCTGGTGTGGGTAGTTGTTTTCGGGGCATTTCATACCCAGGAACACAGATACAGCCTCCAGTACCTGAACACTGAGCAAGTGGTCCACAAGATTCTGGTTTACAGTTATAATGATCTAAACAGAGATAACACACACACACACACAAACGATATTCATGGTAAAACTACAGCTTTTCAATTGCAGTTAGGAACACATCATTGGTATCATATGTCTACACTAAAATATAAAGAAAAGGATGACAATGAGTAATCATTCCTTACAGGTTACATAACCCATACTGCTGTGTGGGTGACTTGATGGTTGGTATATGTAGAATCCTCCAGGACAGAGGACTATGCTTATTGTAATAGTATAAGCATTGCAAGTTCCAACATCACCATATGCATATCCTGTTGTTGGAGTTACAGATTCAGTTCTTGGATGATATCCGTCTGCTAAATGGATGGAATATTGTGTACCACCAATAGGTCCTCCATAGCAGCCTGTTGCAATTCTGTCTCCACCAAACCCTACAAAGCGCCACCACATCCCAACAAGATCTGCATCATCCTTTGGGAACTCTGGAAATGATGATGATGTAAATAAATAGTTGCGCCATGGTTCAGTTATGTTTGTGTATCCATCACACGAACCTGTATAGATCAACAAAACACACTGTATGTCAATAATAATGAACAAAGATCACTGCTATTTCACCATTAGCCAGAATCAGTATCAGATGTTTACAAGTAAACATCATCCATACCAGGAGGAAAATCACAGTGGCCAAGGATGATGAGTGAACCTATAAAGCACAAAGACAAAGAAGAGTTGATGTTTCTAAACTCTAAATAGCTGTCAATTGTTAAAAGGTCATCATCAATCTTAATTATTACAATTACATGTAAATGTAAGCTAAATGGATCCAAGACTATTATAGAAATTAGGTCACAGCTGAATTGGTGCTGATGATACTGATGACAAGAAATATCCATTTGTATTCTTAAAAGGTAACAACAACATACCGTACATTATAGCTATATCAAAATACTTGCTTAATTTGGTGTCATAATTTCTTCTCACACATCGTCAACAATATGAAACATGAATTAACTCACCCAAGAGAAGTGAAATGGCACAGCAGCTCATCGTGACAGGTCCCAGTCCACAAAAAAATCAAACATCACTGTTTAAACTGCGTTTAAGTACATTTTGGAAATTTGCACAGCATCCACAAACAAGATTTGGCAATAATGCAAAACCAATGCAAATTCACTTACTTGTGAAGGAAAAGCTTAAGTTTAATTTAGCTCACACCAAGACATGAGCCGGGGCCAGAGCTCTGTGTGGCTACTGCAATAACACTGCAATGTGTTTTTTTTTTTATGTTATGTTATGTTGTGTTAACTTAGCTTATCTTAGCTTTGTGTTCATTATTAAGAGGTTTACCCGGTATTCATAGATTAGAGATTAATTTATTTTTGTAAACAAAAAGCAAAAATGTCAACATTTTTAAGTGTTTTTTATGATATTAATGACAGACAGCCTAAAGTTAAAAGTTTATTTTTAGTTTAAATATATTTTTGTCAAACCAAATCATAAACATACAATTTCAAATATGTGTTGGGGAATTCTTGTGTTTTGATCCGAATCAGAATCGGAATCAGAATCAGCTTTATTGCCAGGTATGTGAACACATTCGAGGAATTTAACTCAGGACTCAGGATACATTGCTCACGATATACTTACTTATTCAATAATACAATAATAACATCAGACAGGCTACAGTATAGAGAACACATATATTCACACACATAAACAAAAACAATATAGACAGATTGAGACAATAGTGCAATGAGCACAGTGCAAAGGATGCAGGAGTAAATGTTTATTACCATTATTATTGCTATTAATTATGTACGTTTCGGAGGTGGATGAGATGTACAGGTGCACATTTATTTTATTTATTTATTTATTTATAGAGTTTAAGTTTACAGAGACAGTGCACATTGATAAATATTTCTGTAGTAGTCCTTGGGCAGGTGTTATCGCAACTACATAAAATACATTAAAACAGGAACAACAGTACTTATTCATATAACAAGATACCTTTCACGAGGACACGTAAAATACTAAAACAAGGACAACAATTTAAAAAACATAAAACATAAAACAAAGCCATGCAGAATCTTATAGATAAGACAAGCATCTGTAAATGTAATAATATTGTCCCAGCTCAGTAAATTATGATTGTATAGACTGTGACAGTGGTGATGAGTATTTGGCTTTCTATCAAGCACCTTGGAAGCCTGGTGGTATACGAACTGCACAGGTTTGAGTGTTGTACAGGACGCTTGTGCCCAACTAGTCAAACAGTATGACAAATATGGCATAATCATAGCATTAAAATATGCTGTTGCTGCCTTAGTAGTTAGACAGTTTCTGATATGGCAAAAGTTTGACAGATTAAATTTAACTGCATTTATTACCTTCTTAATTTGTTTTTTAAATGTAAGATTAGAATCAATTATTACACCAAGATATTTAAAATCAGAAACCACCTTGCAATGTAAATATTGGGTGTGAGATCATCGACAGACCTCTTTCTGAAGAACATACATCCATTTTCATGTTTAAATGAAGACAGGAGTTATTAAGCCACTGTGTGACATTGTGACACTGGCCATCACTGCCGTGAGCTTACATGCAGCTTGCTGTATGTTTGTCAAGTGTACATAAATGACAGTATCATCTGTGTACATTTGAATTTCAGACTCATTGCATACAGTGGGTAGGTCATTTATGTAAAGGCTAAACAACAGGGGCCCCAGAATTGATCCCTGAGGTACACCAAAACCACACTTGAGGGCTGATGATACCTCATCATTTACCTTGACACGCTGTGCTCTGCCTTCAAGATATGATTGCATCCATTTAATACTATTAGGGGAGAAGTTAAACAATGAGAGTTTTGCAGGTAGGACATCATGATCCACAGTGTCAAAGGCTTTCTTTAGGTCTGGGAATATGGCCCCAACGACTCCCCCTTTATCTAGTTTAGATCTCACATTCTCAAGGAAAAAGCAGTTTGCAGTTTCCGTTGAATGGTTCGATCTAAAGCCAAACTGCATAGGATGTGATCTGAAAGGGCTGCTGTTAAGGTGGCTAGTAAGTTGTTCTGCTACATACCTTTCAATTACCTTTGACACAGTAGGTACTATACTAATTGGTCTATAATTGCAAACTTCTGATGGATCACCTGTTTTGTGAATTGGTGTTATTATAGCTGTCTTCCATGCTTTTGGAAAGACCCCTTCATTAATTAATCTATTGATTACAATTGTTAGTGGGCCAGAAAAGTGCTCATTAAACATTTTCAGGAACATGTATACATGTATGCTGGAATAAATAAGTGTTATGCGCAGGTGTTATGTACCTGAGGTAGGTGGATTTGGTATAAAGAATATATACAATATGAAAATATAACAATATGAACAGTATGAACAGCACTACAATAGAGAATGAGAGAACAAAAATTATGCCCATATAAGACATAACAATGGGATCAACGTGTCTTGATACTGCTCCTTTCCTATCAAAGTCTTCATTTCTCAGTGGATGTAAATGAGTTTTGGCCTGAGGAGAGAGAGCGTGTGACTCACTGGTCAGGACAATTTGTCTTGTAAAACTGTAAAATGGTAGTGCACCTAGGGCTGTATGTAAATAACTTACAAAGCAAATGGAACACTCCAAATATTCTGCCTGGTCTTTAATTCAGTTTTAACAACCAGTGTAAATACTGGAACCTATATATACTGCAGTAAAGACGCACAGAGGGGATGAGATTAAAGAGAGTCTGGGGATCTGACAACATGTTGAAAAATAAACATGGAAACAAATATTTCAAACTGTTTATTTCACTGAAAGGTTCTTGACAGGTATTTCTTGACTTCTAGCAAATCACATATAAATTTAAATTACTGACTAACAATTGAAAAGAGATGAATATTTTGAGATATACACCTTGTTTTCAAACAATCTCTGCATCATCATTACATGGTACTGTGGTATTTTCTGTAATCACGATAAAGCTGTCTTGAAAGCAGGGCCAATGGCGATACTATACCGGTGGGAGGCAGCAATGCACTAAAACAGTGCCGAGACTGTCGGGAAAAAAGAAGAAGTAGAAAGCAGGGCCAACCCGAAAGAAGCGAGGGTGTAGCGGGCTACTAGGAACCATTATTTTCAGGCTGATGTTCCTGTCGACTATATAAACTAACGGGACAAATACGGTGGGAATGCGCGCACCAGTAAATCAGCGGGGATGTTTTGTATAACGTTACGTTAAGACATAGTTTCTGTTTAATGTCATAATACTCTGGATGTCTGTATGAGTACATAAGTTGAATTTCACATAAACGCCAGTAGAGTGTGAAGCTGGATTATCCTTGCAGATAGACCGCAGCTAGAACGGCTTGCTAAGTAAGTTGCTGTTTGTTTTAGCATCAGGTGCTAACATAAAGCACTCGGTGGAAGACGTTATCAGGTTTTATGTTGCGTTTACTGATTTTTGTCTTATTAATTTAACGCGAGTTAACCCGCATCGAAACAATAAATCAGTGTTCTCTGTTCACATAATGTGGTATTACAATTGTTTCAATTTATTTCTGTAGTTGTCGGCTCGCTCAGTGCAACTCAATGGTGTCCCAACAAACAGTTTTAGCTAACGTCAACACCGCTGCTGGCTTTGATCAATTTCAAATATAGTAATAAATTAGCACTTGTTCCCCTTTTGCTTTTGATTCACACTTAACTTAGTCGAGTCTATTTCTAATGCAAGTCTTCTTTTTAATTAGTATACACAACAAGCCTGAAGCAATCGTTGCATGTGTGGTGAGAAAAACCAGAGACGACCAACCATGACTTCACTGGTAGGTTTGCTCTTGTGTATGTGCACTGCTCCAAACGTATGATAAGCTTACCGTACTGTAGACGAATAGCCTCAAATGTCATGCAGTCAGTATTATTTTATTATTTCTGAAACCCCATCACGCTATCTACGTTATCTGTTCTGTACTTCATATCCTTACATACATTACATTACAGACGGGAATGTGTTTCTCTTACAGGGGGGCAGCAGTTCCTCAACCACAGAATACACTGTGCGGGTCCCCAAGTGAGTAACATGGCCTGACATGCAAATATAATAATATACAAAAATGTATTTATCTCCAAGCTTAACTTAACGCGGCAGGTATGTGTTTAGCTGGATATGAAATGATTGTAATGCAGTCGAATTAGGCAGTTTGACTGCAGACTTGTTTTTAATGTGACTCACCTTGTATGTAAACATGAGTTTAATCAGATCTGCAGGTTTTGATTCTGTGTATATGTACCAAACTTTGTTGAAGCCCTTTGCGTTTTGCCTTTACAAATAAAAAATGAATTAATTTGACTGCATGATGAGTTGTTTATACTGTAGGTGTTAATGTTGTGTTCTGGCAACTATTCCTGTGACCTCCAATAGTAATGGGCAGGTAAAGTTAATGACTTTTTGTTTGCATACTTGTTTCTGTCCCATAGAAACACCAGCAAGAAGTACAACATCATGGCTTTCAATTCAGGAGACAGAGTCAACTGTTCAACCTGGACACAGGTCTGTTCATTTCTATTTATGACTGCTGTAGGGTGTAGAGTCAGTACTGAGAGAGAAATGACAAGCAGTGTGATTACTGTACATCTGAAGTCTAAGATCAATAACATAATGCCATAGCATCTTTAAGTTTTACATCTAACATCTCCTTCTCTCTCCTTTCCTAGGCTCGCATGGAAAGAGACATGAGTGCCCGGCGGATATATGGGGAGGAAGAGACGCAGGAAGGCGCGGCTGGCAGTGAGTTTGGCAAAAAACAGCGTGAGGAAGCGAGGCGGAAGAAGTTTGGTATTGTGACACGTGAGTTCAAAGTGGAGGACCAACCCTGGATTCTTAAGGTCAATGGCAAGGCCGGCAAGAGGTGGGGAGAAAGAACCTTCTTTACTCACACTCATTTTCAACAACCATATATATTTTTGAACCTTTAAGTCTGATGTAAGGCTGGGCAATAAAACAATAATGATAATTATTGCGATATAATATTCTTCAATAACAATATAACAAATGTTCACAAATGAATTGGCAATTAATCTTTCTATTTAGATATTCATTTTGTTGAGTAAAAGGGGCTGAAGAAGATTTTGCTTAATTTTATTCATGCATATTTGTCATGCATATAAGATTTTATAATTGTGAGTGGTACCTCAGATTTGGCCTGGGCGGTATATCGGTATAATGTGGTATACCAATATAATTTCAAAAGAGATATAAAATTAGACCATACCAATTGTATCGATATAGTTTGTTGAGTTAATTAATGTTTCCGTGAAGTCCTGCCAGCGTTCGCTCCTCTCTCTCCCTCACCGCGCAGCCCACCTCACAAACTCTATAGCAACACAGTGCCGGTCAACACTGCGGTTCATGTTATTACGTTACAAGTCACGACACAGTGGATATTTTACAAGAGCAGACAGTGAACACACCAGTCAGATGTCAATCGTTAGCTACCACGTTCATTTTGTTTTGAAAGGCTAGGTTGTCAACGTGCCTCCTCAACATGCGACTCAACTGCTGCTGTGACTGGAATCACGGGAGGAAAAGTCCAGAAGACAAGCTTTGTATGTTTGGGTTTTTTTTGTAGGGCTGGGGCGATTCGTCGACATAATCGATGTAATCGATTAACTAAATATGTAGACGCGCATTATGTGCGTCGAAGCGTCTCTGCATCCGCTGTGGGATTCTCCCGGACCAGGGCCTGTCACGGACAAGCTCCAGCTACAAGACACCGCCTTCGACCGTCTAAAGTTTGGAGTATTTCAGACAGACACTCAACAACGTGCTGCTCCGTGAGCTCTCTGAACTGGAAACAGCTTCACTGCAGCACAACTGCTGTCCACGCATACGTGAAGCAGCATGAACACGTGAAACTAAAGTATCCCGGAGCACTTTGTCTAGACAGCAGCACCGCAAATCGTGTTTACTTTCTGTCGCCACACATTATCAGCACGAGGACACGTAGTCCGTTAAAATGTTTATTGCCTTCATGTTAAAAGTTTTAAGTAAAGTAGCCTAATTAATGTCTGTTATTGTTATTATCACATTATCAGTGAAGTGGAAATTTGATTCATTTCAAGATTTGCTGCTATTGTCATTATTCTCATGTGCTTCATCCAGATGATTGAATAAAATATAGATTTATTGATTAGACATGTTTTTGATATTTATTTTGGATAAATTGGTATGTTAATAGAGTAATAGGCAACTTTTATTTCTTTAGAATAAACAAAATGAGTCGTTAGATTAATCGACTAATCGAAAAAATAATCGTTACATTTATTGACTTGAAAAATAATCAATATGTACAGCCCTAGTTTTTTGGCGACTTTATATAACATACTGATGGAGAAAGTCACCGGAGCAGATTTACAGGGAGAAAGAGATGGAAAGAAGTGGGCTACACCCCCCCAACCATCTGGTTACTTCAATTTTCACTCAGGAGCAAAAAAAACACTTTAAACTTGAAAGACAAAATGATTTGACATTTATCGTGATAATTATCGATATCAAATGATATGAAATTTTTTATCGTGATAACATTTATGGCCATATCACTCAGCCGCAGTGTGAAGGGAACACACATGCACATATTTAAGATATACCTGTATGTCTCAGGCAGTAACGTGGAATCTGTAGAGGATTGTAACCTACATGTGTAGCTTGTGTCCACATGCTATACACCATGTGTTATCCATTATTAATCAATTTATCACTCATTAACTCTTTTCCTCAACTTTCTTGAGCTGCTGTATCCCCGGTGTGGGATCAATAAATCTTTAGAAGAAAAAAGAAATTCCTTGTCAAATGATCCCTGTGTGACTGCATTTGCAGGCCTGATGAGGATCCCCACTGTTTTCAACTCAGCAACTCTCTCCCTCCGTTCATTGTGTGCCAGGTTCAAAGGTCAAAAGAAGGGGGGTGTTACAGAAAACGCATCCTACTACATCTTTACACAGTGTCCTGATGGAGCTTTTGAGGCCTTCCCCGTCAATGGCTGGTACAACTTCACACCGCTAGCCAAGCACCGAACTCTCACTGCCGAGGAAGCCGAGGAGGAGTGGGGCAGGTGAGATAGGGGAGGAACAGGGAGTGATGGTTGTTCGTAGTGAGGAAAACAAATACTTCCAAATACTTCCCCAACTGGTGCAGGTGTGTCACTTAACATCAGATATCCTCCCCCTTTTACAGAAGGAACAAGGTGGTGAATCACTTCAGCATCATGCTTCAGAGACGTTTCCGGGAGCAAGAGCGTGGCGAGGATGAGGATGATGAGGGCGAGAAGTCGGGGAAGAAGAAAAAGAAGAAGGGTGGCAGAGGCGGTGACCTGCGCATTCACGACCTGGAAGACGACCTGGAGATGAGCAGCGATGACAGTGACAGCAGTATGGGGGAAGGTAAGGAGAGAGAGAAACCGGATGGGACTGAAGACGGAGAGGAAGATCTTTTCCTCTGTAATGTGCCCCAAATTTAGATGAAAGTATTGTTAAACAGAACTTGAATAGTCTCCCAAGCCGTTTGCTATGTTTCCCTCTGATGTTGTGTCCTTGTCTTTTTTCCCCCCACCACTTGGACACCACTCTCTGTATTGGACAGATGGAGAGAGCAAGACAAAGGCGAAGAAGGACACTGGGAAAGGAAAAGGAAAGAAGAAGAAGAAAAAGAGCAATGAGCATGAGGCCCTGGAGGACAGTGATGATGGTGACTACGAGGGCCTAGAAGTGGATTACATGTCGGATGAAAGCAGGTCAGATCCATTTGCATTGTTGTGCACAAAGCTTCTCAGTTTATGGACACTACAATGTATGTTTTGTTTGTTTTTTGTTGCTTCTGTTAGTAGTATGTAATTTTTTGTTTTTCAAAAGCAGTTCGGATGAAGAGCCAGAAAAGGGAAAGTCCACCAAAGGAGGAGAGGAACACCCTAAAGGTCAGATCACCTTCAGTTGAACATTACTGATCTATTAATTATGAAATATAGACAAAAAGCGGATTTTATGCATGAAATAAAAAGTAGAGCATGAACCACTTGGGCTAGTGATTATTACCATGAATTCTCTCATATGATGAGTTGAAAGAAAATCAGCAGATATGTACAGTCCCTGACAAAAGTCTTGTCGCTTGTGTACAAATTGACCTGAAGTGAAAATTTGACCTTTCTGTCTTGTCTAAATGATAAATCTTTTTTCAGTGAAACTAATTTATTTCAGTGCATTAAACCTCATTTGGGAGGGTTTTAGCTTTTCATATGAGCAATTTCTAACACCAATTGATTAATTAAAAGTCAGGTTAATAGCAGGTGTTTCTACAAAATAGATAAGCGACAAGACTTTTGTCAGGGACTGTATTTCAGTGTTTTTAACTTATTATCGTTACTGAATGGATATGGATATGTAGCTTTGTTTTCCATCCAAATGTTTGTCCTTTTCTAGGGATTGATGAAGCTTCAGAAAGTGAGGAAGAGAGTGAGGAGGAGAAACAGAACGAGGAGGAAGCCAAAGAGGAGGAAGAGGAAGAGGAAGGCAAGAAAACCCCTGTCCAAGTGGAAAAGAAGAAGAAAAAAGGTACGGACCACATGGGCACAGATGGGCGGGTTTGACAAAATCCAAACTTAAATGAGGCCTTAATAAACACTGTCCAATGATATTCCTTTCTGCTTGATTTGAGCTTTATGAATTTGTGTCACAGACAGCAGCGGAGAGTCGGAGAGCTCAGACGACAGTGACATCGAGGGAGAGACGGCCTCCGCTCTCTTCATGGTGATTAGTGTGTGTGGCAGAATAAATGGACATTTGTGCAATTAAAAGCTATTTTTGCGCCAAAATGTAGATTTTCAGTTATAACCTTCCACTTGAGCAGTATTGTGGCTCTATCAAAACTCTAGCTCTTACTGCTGAGTTTGTTATAGCAGCTATTTCATATCTGGGAGTGAATATGTGTGGCTGGCTTTATATTTACATTTCTGTTGTGTTTCTTGTTTTGAGCTCATCAGACATCGCTCTTTTTGTCCTTCTCTCAGAAAAAGCGCACGCCTCCTAAACGTGGAGGTGGGCGTGGCTCTGCAGGTAGCTCCAGGACTGGCAGTCGCCCCGGGACACCATCCATAGACTCTGCCTCCACCTCCAATACGCTCCGTGCTGCTGCCAGCAAGCTAGAGCAAGGTGTTTGCTCATGCACCACAACACAAATGCACATAATTAAACATGACACATGACAAATGTTGTATTTATGTGAAACTTTCAAATGTCTGCCATCTACTCTGAAACTTGAGGTGCCTCTTTTGTTGTTTCAGCTAAATCTCTCTTTCCCACAGGTAAGAGGCAGACTCAGGGTCCTAGCACTGACTCACCAGCTGCCAAAAGGCTGAAGATGGAGCCCAGCAGTCAGAGCCCTGTTCCCTCTGGCAAGACTACGCCTCAGCCCCCATCAGGCAAATCCACTCCTAGCTCAAGGTACTCTAAAAAATATTTATTTATTTATTCTGAGATTACTGTGAAACACAATATATCCCAATTACCATAAAAATACAAAAAAAAGTAAGCCTAAAAAAATAATGGTTTGACCAGGTGTTTTGTGAGCAGCGTAAAAACTGTGTTTGTTTCGATTCATCTGCTCCCCAGTGATGTGCAGCTAACGGAGGAAGCGGTGCGGCGCTACCTGATCCGTAAACCGATGACCACCAAAGACCTGCTGAAGAAGTTCCAGACCAAGCGCACAGGTTTGAGCAGTGAGCAGACTGTCAATGTGCTGGCACAGATCCTGAAGCGCCTCAATCCGGAGCGCAAAAATGTGAACGACAAAATGCATTTCTACCTCACTGAATAACTGATGGAAGCGAGGGATGGAGCTGCAGTGGTGAAGGGGATGGAGAATAGTGGGAAGAGCTGAAAATGAAACTAAGGGGAAAAATGTTGGTGGATTTTTTGTAAAACTCTGATCGCTGGAAGAGGTTTTGTGTTAAAATAGTGACATGCCACAGGAGGTTCAAACTGTCACATGGCATTTATCAAAAAATATCTTGTTGAACATATATTTTTTTTCATAGTCAAAAACAGTAAATAAGTGAAAAACCGCTCAATTTCTGTATGGTTTGTGTGTAAACCATTTAACTTGGAGCTTGTTGAATGGGGGGGGAAAGTATTTAACTTGTTTTTCTTCAGTATAAACTTTTGTAATAAAATTTGCTGTTGTGTAAGGCTTTTCTCTTTGTAACCCATCTGTCACATACAGTTTGTTTTTCATGGTTTGAAAAAAAACCTGGGGTCTTTTGTCCTTATTGGGACATACTAAAACTGGCTGTTTTGGTTTTGTTCAAGTATTATACAAACACTGTATGGTGATATTTTAATACATAAAGCATTTATTAAAAATACAGAATTGAAATAGAAAATCAAATGAAAGCAGCAAAAAGCACTGCACAGGCCCTCGCCTCCATGTGAATCCATGCAGATGCATCCATGCAGTACAGTGTAGGTTACAGTGACTAATGAATAGAGGCTGCAGTTCTACAGCTTCTACTGTGCCCCGAATATCAGTCGAATATGGGCAAGACTTGGCAAGACTTGACAATTCTGATTCGACTATATAAATCTTTAGTCCGGGACGGCCCTAATTTTAATCATATGTCACCTTCCTGTGTGGAACATGAAAATTCCATGCAAATCAAATGGCAACACAAGGCTTACTTCCTGTTGCCAGGAGGGAGAGCAATGACTAACTCCTAATAGATGTGTACATATCCTCTGGCTGGTACTTTTAAAAAACAACAGTAACAGTATTTTTTTTTTTAAATATTACCGACAAGTTACCATAGTTACTCATATCTATTACTAATTTTGAAACATTGAAGTTCACTGCATTGCCGCGGCAACAGCCTTTGACGAAATCTCAAAAGCTTTGAAATGTAGCATCACAAAGGTCTTTAGATTGCATTGCCCAAATTTGAAGTCGATCCAATTAATGTTCAAGTTAGAGTAAGTTGAAGTAAGTAGTCCGTCATTGGCAAAAAATTCCCTAAAGTTACAAATTCAATTTCAATTGGTGACTTCCTTTGTATGGCTCCAAGAGGTTTTTTGTAGTCCACAGATGATACATTTGCTTCCCATATTCCATACAGCTAGGTGAAATGTAACGCGAGGGCTGCTTCATTGAAATTTTGTAGGGGGTGCTATCAAGCCCCAGCTACATATCACACAAAAAACCCACACCCGTTCTGACGTGTGCCAAGTTTTGTGAGTTTTCAAGCATCCCTTGCCATTTGAAGGCTAAAAAGTAATTTGGGGGCACTCTAGAGGTGACGTACCACCCTCTAAGTTCAAATGTGAAAATCAAATATTGAACATAATTAAATATATTCAAATAATGAAACATTCATTAGATATTTAAGAAAATTATAGCAAAAGGGAGCCCTCTAATAATACACTGATGTGAAATTCCTTCCAGAGATTAAAAGCTGTAGAGACTTCTGTATACTAGAGAATATGTACAGTATTTTTTAATGTGACTCTGAATAAACCAGTATTACACAGTGATAACACCTTGACTGAAACCAGAACCAAACATTAGTGTTCATTTTCAGCTCGGTTTTTGGTCACTTCATGTCCGGGCAGTCTCATAGTTGGCCACGAACCAGTCACATGTCATCTTTATAGCTACAAGTACAGAAAAAAACAACAAACAAAGCATCAGGCTGAGGATGCACGCAAATATTCATTCAAATATCTAATTTGTATGTTGACAGGCACAGACTTAATTTGCACCATGGACCTTTGTTATTGTAACCCATCCTGTTTGTCTTGTGTGTTAACAAAAAAGGCCAATTTACAGTACTTAAGTTACATAAATCATCATTAATATAACTTGCTTTGATGTTAGTCTCATGGATTTTATCTGCTGCCTCTGTGATATCGTGTACTCAGCACTGTTAAATACAATTTTTATTTTTTCTGTAATGCAATTGAGATTTTGGCACGTTGAGAAATGGCATGTGCAAAAACAACAGCAACACTGTACATATTTATCATTAAGATGTACAGTACAGTAAACTGACCTTCTTGAAGAGGTGTAAAGGTGAAGTCGGGGAGGTAGCGTCTCAGCTTGGCATTGCTGGCTGTTTTCCTCATCTGGCCATCAGACAGGGTGGTGTCAAACTGATGTTAGGTGTCAAGGGGGGACAGAATTTTAGCTGTGTGTTTTGAGCTTAATAGGCTACATACAGAAACAAGAACTGTAATTAACTGGAAAAATAGAGCCTCTCTGAAAGTGGTTGCTCAAGAACAAAGATAGTTTGCACATAATTTGGTCCATATCCATATACATGTTTTGCTTTCAGGCCATCAACTCCTTGAGGAGCTTTGGTAAAGAATATCTTAACATTATATAAGGGAATAAGTTGAAGTTAACTGCTGATCTAGTATTTCCTTATATTCCAGGTTTACAAAAGCATCTCAGAATTAAAACCATATCTGCATAGACATGTCAATATGATAAATTGGTCCATGGGCACAGGGTGTAGGATGATTAGAGAATGTTGAAAGGATACGTGTATGTTGCCTTTGAAGTCCAGAGCCTTTGCAATCATGTCTATAGCCTCTTTGATTGAGACCTCATCCTCTTCACCCACTGAAAACAAATCAGCAGTGAGAAACAAATTCATGAATTGCACATTTAGTGATTGTGTCTCACACCTCTTTCTCTGTTTTGAAACCATAACTTTCCCCATTTTCTTTTGCCGTATCACACATCATAGAGATTCCCAGATGCGCATTATAATTAGAGCCCGACCAATGTGGGATTTTTAGGACCAATACAGATTTATCTGCAATTGGCTCATATCGGTACGCCGATTTATCAGTTGGGCTCTAATTACAATGCTTGCCAAGCACTGCACTCACCACAGAGGATAATGGGGTCAACTTCCTCATATTCTCTCAGGACCCAAATGATTAGACGGCCCAGGTCCTGAGACCAAACACAGGTAACTGGACTTATTAAACATAGAGACATAGAGACATTTGGCCAAGATAGTTACAGCATACAATATTTTAGATTAAGCACATACCTATAGAGTAAAATATATATATGCTATACATTTTTAAATCACATATTGTATAATGCAGTACACTCTAATGACTGGCACACAAGATACCATACCAGAGAATAGATGAACTGTCTTCTAGGAGCTCCAGAGCCACATACATTCACATGAGTTCCTTCCTCTATGAGAGAGACATGAGAAAATAGACTCTTATTACCTGGTTATTGTCTGTGTTTGTATGTGTTATTTACACTGTGTGTATCAAGATGGATTAGCGTGTCTGAGTTGATCACTTTTGGCCTTGTATGTCTTGTTAATGAGTGCTGACAGCACGTGGCCATTTTCTATGCTGAAGTTGTCATAGGGACCGAACACGTTGGTCGGGATGACTGCTGTGTAACGATGACCGTACTGCTGAAAGTATGCCCTGTCAACAAACGTACAATGTATCGATCAGACATGTGTAACACAGATGGACACTTTTCTGCGAGCATTCATGTTTACTCCTCTCCCCCCTCAGTAGCTCAAATGCATGGAGGTCATAAACTTGATCCCTCCGAGAGCCTGTCTTCCTTTATGACATTCACAAATTGAACTGGTCTCAGTGTGTAAGAGTCAATTATGGATGTTTTCACATCCACAGAGCAGTGGATTGTATTTAGGCATAAAGGAACAGCCACAGGTTAAATAAAAGCTACAAAAGACTAAATAGACACTGCTTGCCTGGTCAGGTGCTGCCTCCACAGCCCTTTGATGAGGACGACATTCACCCTTGTGTCTACACCACACCCCTGTTTCCACTGCACACCTGCTTACCTGTTCTGAACATCAAGCATCCTTTTAGCATGTGAATATCCAAAGTTGGAGTCATGAGGTGGTCCGTTGTGTATCTATGAGTGGGGTGTTAGAGTAGAGAAGTTAAACCAATTCCCTTTGCCTAAGTAATAATTGCTCTGCTGTAGCAATACTGTACCCTGATCATTACTGTCAGGGGTTGGTGTCATTGAGAGAAACAAGGATTGAGAATTGGGATTACCCTTCTTGGAAATCTGATACAATCAATGCCAGATAATGTTGTGTCCCTATATGTAATTTATTCTTTATTTACATGAAAGCAATACCACTTGCCACATGCAAAAATTACTTTTAGCAACCTGAAAAATAACTGATGCACATAGGCAGGGTGTTGCTAAAAGAGAGCATTCAGAGTAACTACACTGGGTAAATAAAGGTTTTATAGGAAAAGCTTACCATGGTCTCATCAATGGGGTATGTGGTTTTGTCAGGGAAGATACAACTGGACAGGCAAGACACGATCTTGGTGACACCCATCTCGTGGGCTGTTTGTAGTACATTGTCATTGATTTTGATGTTGTCCCTCTGTGAAGGTGTCAAACTGTTACGGTTAAAAGACTATGTGGATATTTTCCACAGACCCCACTTTTAGATTAGGGTGAAAATAGATTTTCCAGCAACAATATGCAAACAATTTGCATTTTTGGCAGCTGGGGTGGATTATTAATATAACTGTATGGCAGCATTATCTCACCAAGAAGTGCAGGTTCTCCCTCATGTGTAGATAGAGTCCTCCGACTTTTGCAGCTAGGTGGATGACGTGAGTGGGGCGATACTTCTCGAACACAGCCCTGGTCTGCTCGACATCTCTGTTCACGTTTTGACAACACATTTATTTCAAAATGGATTGAGATTGGAAAAACAAACAAGGGTGCTTGTTTGAATCCCTGTCCTCGCTCATTAAGTCTGGGTAGGAGAAGTGAACAAGTAACACTCTTAACAACTTCTTAGGTACCTTTGAGCAAAGCTGGTAAGTCAGAACACCAGTGGAGTTTATCAGTCCTTTTAACAATTTTTGAAATGCATTATTTTGACTGTGCTGTAAAAGCTTTACAATTTAATGATGTCTCTTCCAGCAGACAAAAATCACACAAGAAAAACATAAAGGTTGGGGCTGACACAGTCATCATAACATAAGACAGTGTCCTACAAATGCGTGTACGTCCAGAATTAGGTTTCCACTAATAATAGATAACCCAAAAAACAGCACTAAACTTTCTGATGCACCTTAGATCAAGTCAGAGTCAAGACTCCCTCCAATTTAAGGCTCTTAAACCCAAGATCTGAACACGGAAGAAAGTCCCTTATGCCCACTAGTCCTGAGACTAACAAATCCAACAACATCTCACACCTTTCTTAAGCCAGCACTGCTTTACATACACAAATCAGAGTGAATGATCACTCAAAGCACAAATACTTATTTGAACACTGGTAGAACGAGACAAAAAAAACGCCAACACAAACTAGATTGTTATCTGGCCCTAAACAGAAATTATGAAATGGCAGGATATCTCTCTACTGTCAGAGGTATCAAGAAGAGGTCGCTTCTTACCAAGTACAGACACCCTTGCAAATGAAAAAGGGAGACATAAAAAGTCCTGGTTACCAAGAGAATATAGAGTGTGTGAGCACTGTACGACAAGTGAGGTGGAGACAGAGACGCATTTTCTCCTGAAATGTCATAAATATAGAATCATAAGACAGCAATATTTTGAGAAATTCCATCAAATAATACCGGATTTTAAGATAACAATAAATTAAAAATAATCCTAGGAGAAGGACATACGGCAAACCTTGCCGCCAAGTATGTGTCCTTGTGTCACAACCCGTGACAAGCGAGTGATTCAGCCAACTGTTTCCCTTTATGTTCGCTGCATGGCAGGTTACACCTTGTTCACCTTTATTTGTAGTTTACGTTGTATCTATATTTGTTATTTTTGTTTTTGTAATTTATAGCTGCTAAATGTGCATGGTTTTGATTGGATCAATCTTGTTATGTCTTATTCAAATGTAAACTTTTGATTATGAAACTGCTTTGGCAATATTGTGAAGTGAAACATTCATACCAATAAAGCACACCATGACCTCAAATGAACTGAACATAAACAGACAGGCAACGCCCCATCTCAGCATACTAAGACGATGCAAATGCTGTTAGCATTGGAACGCATCAGTTAAAGACAAATTTGTTTGCAGGCACACTCAGGTAGAAAGAATGAAGCAACTTACACAAGATCAGCATCCTTTGAGGAGAGGAAGATCCATTCTTCTCCCAACAGTTTCCCGCCGGCCTGCTGCACCACATGCTCAACGGCTTTGCCCACCAAACCAGATCCACCAGTCACAAGGACACGCATTGGCCCCGCTTTGAGCTCTGACCCCATCTCCTATATCTGTGCAAATAAATATTTTCCTCACTGCAATCCATACATCCAATCAACATAAATACATTATTCATGTGCTCGTATAAGAGCAGGTGAGCCAAATGATAACACAAACTTATATATCATACTGCCACAAACTAAATACAGGTAATGCCTTCATGCTCCTTACCTATGTGTTAGAAGGCTGAAGTGAGTGTGGACTTCACTGGAGAATGTTTGTCTGACCAGGGGTTGCCTACCTGCAGACAGTCCCGTCTAACAAGTACTTTTAGATCTTTTTTATACTGGATATTGTTTCAGCTTGTTCCCCCTTCACTATGGAGTGATGAACATAGCGTAGGTGTGTGAGATCATTTGTTACTCCTCCTATAACATGTCTCTTCCTTTTGATTCATGCAGAAGATGCTACCATCTACTGGTTAGAGTGTATTTTAGACTGAACTTCATAAAAGGAAATATGCATATGCATGAGTGGATTAGCGCTCAAAGCAAAAGTGACATCCTCAGATGAATGGTAAAATACAGTATTAAGTAAATTCAAGTACATTAAAATACATTTAAATAATTGTGGCTTGCAAACGCCTGTCGTGGGGAAAAAATTGAGCATGCCATCATCGAAACATTTATGGCAGTGTGCCATTAAATTTTGAAATAATATGAAGTGAGCCAATCTTTGTCCTGCAACTTGAGAAACATGTTTGAGCATGTTGGAAGCATGTTAGAAAAATAAAAAGAGCTCCCCTCTACCTATGAAGAAGACGAAGGAATTTTTATATGACAAAGTCATTAAGCTGTTAGTGGCATTACCACTTCTCAGTACTCAAGGAAGGTGACGCTTTTCACAAAAAATGAGGTCAGAAAAGAGCTCAGCTGAATGGAATTAGGTATTGCCTTCTTACTTAAATGTATCAAATATATATATAATATTTATTAAAAATACAAAATCAACAGATTCCCACAAAGCAGCTTGATATGTTAAACCAAGAACAATCTTTATTGCATCCTTGTTCACTTTGATGTTATCTGGAAATTATTATTATATTATATTATATATATCTGCAAGAGTCTCTGTACTATACAGAAGTAGACGAACACACCAAACATGATTCAGAATCACTTTATACATTTAAAGCTCACATCCTTCCCAGCAGGGTGGAGTGGTGCAGTTGTTGTGGGAGGTTGTGTAATAACCTGCTGTTTATTTCAATCAGCTATCCAAAATCACATTATAAAGAGTGTCTCAACTGCACCAAATCTCACCATAGATGTATATCAACCAATATTTCAGCTTTAACATGGAGATCACAGACATTATCCTCTAAATTCAGGTTATAGTCTGTTACTATGGGCCAAAGTGGGTGTTAGTCCGGAACGTTCCGACAGATGACGGAGATACGACGTAGCCGAGGGACTCTCTGTCCATTGAACACAGATTCCTCATCTTTCAGGATCTCATGGGTGAAGTTATATCTGGCCTCGTCCCTGTATGGGTGTGATGAGAGCAGGATGAAACACAGGGCTGCGTTGTTTGAAGTTAAATGTTGTATGTGCACTTATTGTCTTCAATGGCGACTCAGCCTGTAGTTTTTCTGTAATAATCAACAACTTGAATACTTCATATTGCAGCCTAAACAATACAATACCTAAATTAATTATTTGAGCTAAATGTTGTATATACTGAACCTCAGTATGTAGAGGGAGCGCCTGGGCAGCAGCAGGTCCAGCCATTCACTGGCGGCATCCTGCTTCACCAAGCGCATGATACTGTCCGACAGAAGACTCAACCCAGCAATGGTGTTACCACAGAACTGAAAAATCAGAAGGACAGACAAAATGACAGTAAGAGCACAGCAGGGAAAAAAGCTCAGCCCACACAAAAAGGCTTTTTCCAAAGGTTACAGTGCTGAGGATATTGTCCCTGATAGAACCTAATGTTTATAGCACTGCATATGCAGAGAAACATGAGAGAAACCTACCTTAACACTGTCAACGTGTGCTTTGATGTATCCAGTCTTGTCCAGATCTAGAATGTGCACGGGCCCGAGGAGTGGACTACCCGCAGGAAATGCTACAGATCGGACGCGATTCAAGACCTCCTCACACGCCGCCTCCCACCTCACACGCTCAGTCTCTCGGTACCCGTGAATAGCCTGAATGTGGGGAAGTGAACACAGCACAAATTAAGTCAGTGTCACTGTCCCTTCAACAGGGTTGGGAGTAATAAAAGTAACGCAATTACAGTAATGCATTACTTTATTCTGTAACACATTAATTTAACGCATTACTACAAAATCTGTAATATTAACGTGCGTTACATCACATTTAACCCAAAATTAAGTGGTGTTCTGAAATGGAAATGGTTACGAGTAATTATTTGATTAGTCACTAGTAACTAATGAAAAGGTGACACCTGAACTGCAGAGCCTCATGGATTTCAATGGCAAAAATGCGCAATTAGTTACTAGTAACTGAAAAATAGTTATTGGTAACTAATAGAATAGTTAGGCTACTAGTACCTAAAAATTAAGTACTAGAATATAATCATTTGTTTCTAGTAAAACGGGTTTAGTTAGTTATTAAATAAGTTGCATCTTTTAAATAGCGACTAGTAAGTTTTAAGGAATAACTTGTTAAAACGGCTTGCATCATAGGTGCCATAGGTGTGTTAGGAAAGATTAAATCATGCCTACATATGAGTTGTCTCATAGGGATGATATTACATGAGAAAAGTTTATCTACAGGAGAAACAGAACTGAAAGCTACACAAAATGCCACTGACTCTTAGATGCTATTATATTTATATGTTTTGAGATGTCACATACCCCCCCCCCCACACACACACACACACACACACACACACACACACTGTTTAAGGGTCTTTCCTCTCGTTCTCGTGAACCTAATATCGTGTGTCGTGATATCTCGCGAGCGTAGTGTGTCCTCACACCCCTAAGCTAAACCCTGATGTCCCCACCACTTTTCAACACAAAGTGGCGCCCTTGCTTGCCATACTCCGTCTGTGGACACGTTGGGGTAACTTAACAGCCGCAAATGGTGAAGTGGTTCTTAAACAACTCCTACTAACATCTTAACCATAACTAATTGGGCTAAATTAATCGTTAAATCGGTAACAGGTGTGCGTTCCGACCGTGACTCTGCAACTCCACACGCACCTTTAACATGTCAACATGCGTGAAGTTTGTATAGACCCGTTTATAACTATCAACCATGCATGACTTACATCGTCCCAATGGTCGAATTCGTAGCGTTTCTTCTTCAGGCCTGGCTCCAGCTCTCGAAGAAGGGCCCCCTCCTCCTCCTCGGTGATGAAGCCCGTCCTCACCTCCACCTGTGAGCAGAGTCTCTGCACGAGCTCCGGGCTTGACCCGACGATGAGAGCCTCATCTCGGAGAAGTATCAGGCCGCCACGGGCACAGGAGCTCAGACAGCGCTGGCGACTGGCGCAAACTGCTGCTTTACGGGTTCTTTTTAACACTGACAGCAACAGTTTCATCCTCCTGTCTGAAATATTAGCGGCCAGCCTCGCTACACAGTCCAATTTACGTTTAGTTGCGTTTTGGTGTTGTTGACAAATGTCAAGCGACTACGTGGGGCGCCATGTTGACAACGCAATGCATTGTGGGGGGCGTAGTCTTCCAGCAGTTATGCATCATATACAATATAATATTAATAGCTGACTTTTTTTTGTTTGATGCCCTTTATATGCACTTGTTAACTTTAATAACAAATATATAAAAAGTCTAACTATCCCTATTTAATTTAGACATGGAGACGTAATGTTTCATATTTGTAATACCATGAGAATGATCCTCAGCTGTGAGGGCTAGAGAAGCAGACAACTGTGAACACACACATTTTAATTACCGCTCATTCTTATTGCCCAACAGCTTGCCTCAGGAAATGTATTTCAATGTTTGTTATGTGCAGGCTTCCGGGCAATGCTCAGCTGAAGACGAAGCTTACAAGGATATGAGCGCGCAAATGAAAAAAACGGCAACAGGGGAGAAGTGAATGCAGATGTTGCAGTTCTTCACTCTGACCAATGGAGGGCAGTAAGTACTCGTGATTGTAAATATGATCAGCTCAATGGTCTATTCCACATGCGCTAACATCTGGTCAAAACGTAAAAAAAAAGTAAAACGTTCACTAATAAGTTTGTAGATAATTTTTTAAAAAGTTAATAATAATGTAAGTGTTCACTATATATCATACTTAAGTGAAAGCCTCCATCATAATCATGTAAAAAAAAAAGGAATATAGAAATGAATGAATGTAGAATTAAATAAGTAGGTAAAGTTTTATATTTGGGAGGGAAAAAACTAGGAATAGAATTCTATACAATGTTTTAAAAAAATTAAAACCAATGAATAAAAAAATTTCTGTCCCTTATGGGCCCACATAGTGAAAGGTGGGAGATGGGATAAGAGATTCCCCTAGAAAAACAAAACAAAAACAAAATGTTGGCCTATTTACCACTAAGGACAGGTTACCACCTTCTCTCTCCTGGTCCCTCATTTTGCTTTGTTTCCAGGCAAACTCTTTGTTAGTGAACTAGAGGTATACAAGGAAACTGGGGCAGCTACAGGAAATCTGTGAAGCTTAGAACTGCTGCTCTGTGTCAGAAAGATCTGATCTTAAAAGGGCAACTGTCAGGGAGCCAGGAAGAGATAGAGGAGCAGACATAGAAAGAAGATTTTGCTTGCGCAGGACCAGCTGCTTTACCCTACTTACCGACTAGGTTAATAATTCTAGATGTTTAAAAATACATTGTGCTTATTTCAGCAGGCTCTCATGTGGTTGTATTTTTGTGTATTGCACTTTCATCTATCCACTCACACACACATACACACATTTTGCTTTTGATATATGTAAGCATGAACCTATACATGTAACATAAACATGTCCACTGCATATATATACAAAGATTATTAGTGCTCCTTCTGTGAGCTGCATGTTGATCTCGGTCAGTGAGCATCCACAATAACGCTAACTCACACCCCCCTCCTCCTACACCCACACACACAAACACAACTGATGTGATGCCCATTTCATTGTTGGATGCCATGTTGCTGCCCCAAGCATTACGTTCATCCAGCCATGATAAGTGTTTTGGGTTCACATTCTAATTCCCAGTTGGTGCACTCGTTTAAAGCTTCTACGATTCACTGCATCATCGTCGGCCAGCTTGTCCTGGAGGCATCATTATGCCTTCTGTTGAATCATGCCAATTAAACTGAAAATCACCAGTAGAATTCTTGGCAGTGATCAGTTGTTTGGAGCGTACATGTGTGGAATTACTGCACAATGATAAGCAGCAAGAAGTCAGAAGGTCCTAGGATAATGTCAAGACATTCACGCATCATAAAATCATGAAAATTGTAGGTAGGACAGAGTAGTTGTTATTGTAGCATTGTAGGAGATATATACCTCAGTATCAGTGGGGCACAGAGACTATATTTTTGTTTTAACAAAGAA